AATCCTATCGCAGAGGTGTTTGGCTGAGAGAAGGATCACGCCTTTGAGACGCGAGTTTCAGTGCCGTCTGCTGTCCCTCTCCTGCGTGAAGCCAGTCTCGAACTCCCTCAGTACCCTCGAGAGTAACTTCTCCGACGAGAATAATGAGCTTAACGACGGCGAGGAGGACATCTTACGATTCACTGAGCTCCTTGAGATGTTCCGTTTGCCAGTGCCGAAGGACATCAGAGATATCTTTGATAACATTATCTCGTCCAAGAAAATTCCTTTGACGATGAATCCCGAGAAGAGTGAGGAGCGTACGTTCTTCGTGGAGGCGGGGAGCAAGGTCATGGTGGAAATAGGCGATAGTCTCTCGCCTTCGGATGTGTTCCACCTCTACGGGATTCTGTCCGGCACGGCTAGAGGCGACGAGAAGGCAAAGGAACTCTTGTCCCCGGAGCTAGAGCAGGGTTCCCTCGAGAAAGTGCGGGGATTGAAGGACGTGGCGTTCTATTATCTCGTCCTTGAGATGCTAAGGAAGGAAATGATGAACCACCTGTACACGCATAAACTTCACTTTCTGTTTAACCAGCTGAAGGAGATGAAGTACGGAGAGGGAGCCATAGACCCACATATCGACGGCATTCTGAACACCCTCGGTCGATACCCTATTACCTCGAGGCCCCCGGGTCTGTGCCTCGTGTTTATCATGACGGAAGGCCGAATCGGGGCGTCGCAGGATCTCGCGAAGGTCAGGGCCTTATTTGAGAAGCAGTACAAGTACGCCTTCTTCGTGAAAAATGATCCCACGGCGGAGGAGATCAAATCAATCATCTCCAAACTGAAGGCAGGCAGATATAAATTCTACGACAGGTAGGTCGACCTTGCCATACAACCTTCTCTCTTCTCTCTTGGAATATTACATCCTCACCGATCTGACCGAACTCGCCATAAAGTCTCCTCACGCGGCATGGAAAGCTTAAGTACCCTCCCCTTTCAGCCTGGTGGTGTGGTTCATGGGTCACGGAGATAAGACCTACCTGTACGTGAAGGAGGGACGCATCCACCGCCGCCTGGACCTGATCGAACCGTTCACAGAGATCAAGTGGTACATCAAGAAACCCAAGCTCTTCTTCATCCAAGCTTGTGCTATCAAGAAGAACCGCAGGAGATTCTCTTCTACTTGTAGGTGAACAGTTTCGGTGGATGTAAAAGTTTTCGAAAGATAAGGGTTGGTGTTTCCGAAGGGAAGCAATGTCATTATTCATATTCTTTGTGGTGAAATGTCCGGTTTTTTACTATCTACTCTCACGGTTATGATAACTTAGTTTTGGTTCTCTTTTGCAGACTTCAATACTGTTTTGTGTCACATTTCCGCGATTTCGGTTACCAGTTTCTGTCTGCCCATTTTGACATGTGGTTGCCTGTTCATCTGACTCACTAGTAACAATCTGATGCCCCGTTTGCTACCATTTTTCATACTGAATTTGAGACAGATGTCTTTTAAATGTTTCCCTTTCTATTGAATAAATATTCAGAGGAAGCATAGCACACTTACACACAGGACATATGTAATGCAGTTTATGTTTACTATCAGCCTATCCCCCCTCCCCCCCCCAAAAAAAATGTGATCTCATCCAAACCTCAAAAAATTTCTGCGGCACCCCATTCCTTAACGCCCTGACCCTCTGACCATAAAATGAAGATAACAAATAAAAAAAATGTTAATAAAAATAATAATAACAACAATAATAACAAAATCAGAATAACCCCAACTTTTCCCAGTCTTACAATCTAACAATGTCGACCGATTTCCAGCTCAAGTAAAGGCCCTCCATGCTAGTACAGACTCCCTCTCGGTTACGTGGCGGGCGTCCGCTGGCTCTGAATGGCAAGACAAGTATGCAGACTACACAGACATGTCTATGGTTAACTCCTTTGCAGACACACTCATTGCATATGCGACGATGTGGTACCAGTATGCCACCAGAGGAGATGACGGTAAGTTTGCTGATTCTGTTCTGGGTTTTATTTGCATGTGTGAATGGATTTGCGTTTGGATGTGTGCGTTTCTGGCTGCACAGAATCATGGAAAAAGAAGAAGAAGAAGACGAAGACGAAGACGAAGACGAAGACAAAGACAAAGACAAAGACAAAGACAAAGACAAAGACAAAGACAAAGACAAAGACAAAGACAAAGACAAAGACAAAGACAAAGACAAAGACAAAGACAAAGACGAAGACGAAGACGAAGACGAAGACGAAGACGAAGGAGGAGGAGGAGGAGGAGGAGAAGAAGAAGAAAGAAGACGAAGAAGAAACATATGAAGATGAAGGATAAGAATACGAAGAAGAAGGATAAGAATGAGAAGACGAAGAAAAGGGGAAGAAGGTTAAAGGTTAATAAGGTTTAATTTGATTCCATTTGTTACAATGGAGAATGAAAAGAAGAGAGATGATGATGATGATGAATAAGTACAGTTTTTTTTTATTTGAATATCAAATTCCAACAAAAATT